ATTTATTGTTTATATTTATTATTAATTTATTTATTCATAATTAATATTAATTATTAATTTATCAATAATAATAATAATTTAATATAATTTGATATAAATATTTTCAAAACTGGTTAAAAACATTAATTTTTTATTTTCAAATATTATTTACAGTTTTTGCAAATTTAATTTAAGTAATTTGTTTAAATATTAACGAACAATTAGTTATAGAACAATATTTGAACTATTAGCTCTGACGTCACGCGAGACGAGAGATATATATAGGGTTCGGCTCTGAGCTGCGAGATGGCACTAACATCATTGCCTCTCGCAAGCGCTCGTCCTCACACCTGTTTCAATATATAACAATTTCCATCTCCTACTCCACAGGCGTCCTGGGCCGAGGCAGTGACATTAGAGGCCTAGCTCCCGTTCTCGTCCGATCCACGTTCCGAACGTATCGGCGCTGTGTTTTCTAATCATGTTTTGATTAAAAAATATTAAAATAAAATTCTAAATAACCATAACTCATAATCTTAGCTAAATCTCAATAACATATCTCATTCAATCAATAAATTCTTTATTAATATCCATTAAAATTGAAAATAAACACAATCAGTGAAACAGGAGACAAACATAACCTCAAGGAGCCGCTCCAACTGCCTACGGGCATGGACTTTAACACTCTTATTATCCAAAGTACTAAAAGGAAGCGTAATGAAAATGAAATATTAACTACTGAAATTAAATCCAAAATGAACAAAACAAAAAAAGATCAAAACATACCTCTTGCTAATAGGTTTGAGGTGCTCAGTGATAATGAAATGGAATTTGAAGAACAAGCAAATAATAATAATACTCATACACAACCAACAATAAGTACAAAAGTCCAAAACACACCAAAAAAAGATAAAAAACCTCCACCAATTGTTATTCATGGTAAAATTAATAGTCACACAAAAATAACAGATCTGTTAAAGGGTATAATCAAAGAAAAGTTTTACATTAAATATCATCAACATCATACAGAGATTTTTACAGCAACACAAGATGAGTTTAGTAAACTAAGAGACCACCTCAAAAGTACACAGGTAAAATTTCATACTTACTCTCTTAAAAATGAAAAAAAGAAAACCTTAGTCATTAAAGGTCTACATGAAGAAACCAATCCAGGAGACATTCAAGCTGAATTGATGGAGATTGGCATTGAAGCTAAACAGGTTAGTTTGATGAAAGGCACTAATTACCCTATATTCATAGTTGCAGTGACGGTAGATACTCTACTCAAACACGTCAAGCAAAAAGCCCGATTGTTATGCAATACCAAAGTTACATGGGAAAATTATGAAACTAAAAGAAGAGCCTCACAGTGTCACAGGTGTCAAGAGTGGGGTCATGCAACAATTAACTGCTTTGCTGAGCCAGCATGCTTAAAGTGTGGAGAGGCACACTTAACCAAAGATTGTGTGAAATCAAAGGACACTCCAGCCAAATGCGTTAATTGCGCAGGTGATCATCCGGCAAATGCAACAATCTGCAAGTCATATCACAACAGATTGGAACAAATAGCAGCAAGATCAAACCATACAAACCAAAAGACAGAGAAGTCAAGAATCGAAGGTAACAGAGAAGTACCGAGACTTGACAATCAACACTTTCCATTACTTCGTAATCGTAATCCAGAACCAAGGGCTAACTTTTGGTCCAATCGCACTGTCCAGCAAGATAACTTAAGCAATAAAGTTAACCAACAAGCCCAAAGAACTACTTATAATAACACCAATAATAATCATGCAAATAACGAAATGTCTGATTTATTAGAATTAACTGAAGTTATTAAAAACATTAATGAACTCTGCAATATTAAAAAAAATGCTAGAATTAGCAAAAGAACTCAAGAAAAATTTAACTAACTGTGCATCGGAGGCAGAAAAGTTCAACGCATTCTTAGATTTCACAGCTAAGTTAGAATCACCATGACTAATATAAAAATATGCAGCTGGAACGCAAACGGTTTAAAAAACAAGTTAGGAGAAGTTATAGAATTTATTAGTAGAAATAAGATTGATATATTTTTGATAAACGAAACCAGGTTATGTGAGAAAGATAAGCTTAAAGTAAGAAACTATAATTGTATACGTAAGGACAAAAACTATACAGCAGGCGGGGTAGCAATATTAGTTAAAAAAGACTTAGCTTACCAAGAATGCGTAGTAACTAGTACTATTGAATGTATAATTATTAAACTAGCAAGTAACATTTTCATAACAGCAGCCTACAATAGTCCTGCCAATAATTTTACAACTCAAGACCTAAATTCCATCCTTGGTATTGGTAATAAAGTACTCCTAATTGGAGACCTTAATGCCAGACACATCACCTGGAACAATCATGTCAATAATAGAAGAGGGCTGACACTTTTTGACTACACTCTCACAAATAACTGCAGCATCATTTTTCCAGATGAACCAACTCACTATCCTACAAACAACTCCACGCCTACCACAATAGATATTGCTGTGAATAAAAATGTCAATAATGTTTCAGACTTACAAGTCTTACATGAGCTTAATTCAGATCATACACCTGTAGTATTAAAATTAGGATCTCAGAAACGAAATAGTGCCAAGAAAACAGCCTACAACTACACCGAAGCTGGTTGGGATATGTTCAGAAAACACCTTGATAAAAAAATCACTCTAACATCAACAATAAAAACAAAAGATGAACTAGACCAAGAAGTACTTAAATTTACCAATGATATAAGATGTAGCATGGACGAAAATATCAAAAAAACCACCTTCAAAGAATTGCGAGATAAGCTTCCAGAAACTATACTACAGATGATCAAGCAAAGAAACCATCATCGAAAAATTTGGCAACGCTCAAGGCAAAAAAAGGACAAAGAAAAAGTAACAAGACTTACACATCAAATAAGAACATCAATAATTAATTATAGAAACAACGAATGGTCGACCAAACTAGAAAAGCTGAATCCTCGAGACAACTCGCTATGGAGAATGACCAAGATCTTGAAAATGGAAGACAACACTATTCCAACACTGGTCAAAAATGGAGCCCAGGCCTTCACTGACTGTGATAAAGCTAACTTATTGGCTGATCAACTTGAACAAGTCCATAATATAGACCTAGAAAATAATACAGATAATCAAAAAAGCATAGTCAAGCAGGTCAAGGAATATCTAGATGTACAGGAAAATGAAAACTGGTATCAATTCATAACGTCCCCCAGAGAACTTTCAACTATTATCAAGCAACTACCATCTAAGAAAGCACCAGGACTAGATGCTATTCAAAACATAGTTCTTAAAAATTTCTCCCGTAAGGCACTCGTACAACTTAACTACATAATCAATAACTCAATTAAGCTATCCTATTTTCCACAACACTGGAAAATTGGCCAAGTAGTTCCCATCAAAAAGCCTGGAAAAATTAGCACGGATCCAAGTAGTTATCGACCCATCAGTCTCCTTCCGACGATGAGCAAGGTCTGCGAAAAAGTTATTTTAAAAAGACTGACACAACATGAAGAAAAGAACAACATTATAGTAGATCATCAGTTTGGATTCAGGAGTAAACATAATACAGTTCAACAAGTAACAAGAATCGTCAATGACATTTCAATAAACTTTAACAAAAATTTAGTCACTACCATGCTCTTACTTGACATAGAAAAAGCGTTTGATAGGGTGTGGATAGATGGCATAATCTACAAAATGATCAAATTTAATTACCCACCAACACTTATCAAATACGTGCATTCATACTTAACTGACAGGTGTTTTGAAGTCACTGTTAACGGCTCTCTATCAACAAAGAGAAAAATTAGAGCTGGTGTCCCGCAAGGCTCAGTTATTGGACCAAAATTATTTAATATCTATCTCAATGATATTCCTACGTTCCAGAAAACGAGCACAGCACTTTTCGCTGATGACACAGCCATATATGCACACTCCTTCAGCGCAATAACAGCAGCAAAACAACTACAAATACATATAAATATACTGGAAAAATACTACACAGATTGGAAAATATCACTCAATGCATCCAAAACTGAATTGATAGTTTTTGCTAAAAAATGCAAGAACTTAACTATATTCCAACCAATAAAGGTTTACAACCATAGTATAAAACCAACTAATTCCACCAAGTACCTTGGAGTTCATCTGGATCCAAGACTTATATTCAACACACACATCAAACAAGTCATTAGGAAAGCCTTCATAGTACAGAAAAAACTATATCCCATGATGGTTAAAGGATCAACACTAACAGTTAAAAACAAAAAACTACTATACACGATGATACTGAGGCCCATACTAACATATGCATCTCCAGTCTGGTGTGGTGCATCCTTAACCAATTTACTCTTGCTACAAAGGTATCAAAACAAGTGCCTGAGACTTATCTTATCAGAAGGTAGATATACTAAGATATCAAAACTCCATGAAGATGCTGAAATACCACTTATCAAAGACTTCATCTACAGGTTGGCAAATAACTTCTACGAACAACAACTAACCAACAACAAACTAACAAGAAATATTACAAATATCAGAAAACACAACATACCAACTACATACAAACATAATTTACCTTATCAAAAATTAGAAATCTTTAAAAAACCAATATTATAAAAAATAAAATAAATAACAAAAATAAATTAACAGACTGAGGTCTGGTGTAAATTTCAAACGCACCCTCGCAGTTTGGCAACCACGGTGGATCCACGATGGAACCACGGTTGTAGTGGATTTACTGTGGAGCCACGATGGAACCACGGTGGATCCACTGGGGATTTTGTGCCGTTTTGCCATTGCGATTTCACCGTGGTTCAACAGTGGATTAACTGTGGATCTATTGTGGTTTCATCGTGGTTCCATCTACGGTTTTATAATGGAATTTCCGTGACTCTACCGTGGTTCCACAGTGGTTTTACTGTGATTTAACCATGAGTTAATTTGTGGTTTTACTGTGGATCCATCGTGATTCGGCAGTGGTTCTACTGTAGTTCCACTCATGATTAAATGTGGATCAATCGCGGTTTCACCATGATTCGATCGTGCTTTGATTGTGATTTTACAGTAATATCATTGTGATTTTATAATTATTACATAACAATTTTACGATAAATTAGAGTTTATTGTCTTAGACCCCAAATCGTCAAAAAGACATAAAAATTCAACATCCAATAATTAAAGAGAAACTAGTAACTTTTTAAACTTTTCACATTTGTATGAAATTTTAAATTTCAAAAAAGGAATGTACAATATTGCACGCCTCATAAGCGAAGCGTTGAGGTTGTGCTCTACTCTCGACATTTCGAAAAAAGCTGTTTTCTCGAAACTGAAATTGATTTTTTGTTATTTATATCGCACTTACAGGTTAAAATGAGTACACTTATGTCAAGTCAAATAATTTTTCA